ATGTTCTTATAAAATCTTACTTATTGTTTATTATGTAATTAAAAAAATACACAATAATTGTAGGTTAGTCCACGTCTTCAAGGATTCCTTGAAAGAATGCTTGTTCGTGATCCAGCTCAAAGAGCAACAGCAGCTGAATTGTTACAGCATCCATTTCTTAGGCAAGCTCAAAGTCCAAGTATTTTGATTCCTCTAATGAGAGGCGCAAGACATACAAATTGTTGATAGGTGAGATGAGATTATTATGATTCCATTAAATGCTTTCATTAATGATTGCAATAGTAGACACAGAAGTGGAAAAGTGCTAAATATGCCTGATGTAAACAGTCATAATTATATTGTAGATCATGTAAAGTATAATAATGTTTAGACAATTTATTCTGAAAAGTTTAAACATTCCAATTATTTCTGAGCTTATACATATTAATTTATATATAAATATATGAACTATTTGCCAATAATATTAATGTTATGAAAGCAAGATGTTCTAAAGTTACGTATAAATAAAGTTCATAAATTGTTTTTGAACAATTTCTAAATGGTTCCTGAATAATTTGCGAACTTGTATATAATTTTGGTTTATACATGGCTGATAATATTGGAGAAATAAATAAGATATCAATTTATATCTACTCCATGTAGAATAAATAAAAAGTGCCTTGGCTATAACAAGACATTCAAAACATTGATATTTGACTCATTCACTGCCATAATATATTTTCTTAAAATAATTTATACACCAAGTGAAAGAATACTTTGACTGACTTATTAAATTAAATCTTGTGAATAAATAAAACATAATACAAATTACTATGTTTAAATAAATATATTAATTTTCAAAATAGGATATATATTTTCCTATATAAAATATTAGTGGCGGTGGATGTGTAAATCTAAGAAAATGGCAATTGCTTATGTTTTCATGATATGATGATGAACATATCATTAATTATTACAATGTCATTTAAGTTACTAATTAAATATGATATAAAGAACTATGTATGCTGCACAGATTATTTAGTCTATTGACAAATTGTTGATAAGAATAATGTGCCACGTATGCCACTTTATTTTAAGAATTAATAAATCATTAAAAATTTTTTTTAATTTGTATTACACTATATTAATGTACTAGAAAATTTTAACATATGTTTTTATCAAATTTATATTTTTATTTAAAATGGAATTCTCCAAATAACAAATATTTTTTTTTTATATACGTATAACAGGTTTTAATAACTTATATGTATTAATCTTGTTCTATTTTCTATAACAAAACATAATTATAAATGTAATTACATATTTGTTAAAATATAAAGAAATTACGTATTTGAACGTGATTTTTAAAATTTATTTGTGATAGGCAACAAAAATTCATGTTCAAATGAATCTTAAAGAAATGTTTGTATTATTTGATAATAACATTATTTCTATTGAAATATTACTAGATAAAATTATTTGTAATGTCATAAGATATTATTCTTTGAAAATTATGTATTGTCAATGTAATAATACAAAACTGATAGTATTATGGTTTTAAGATGGCACACAAATTATTGTCTGCACAAATGGGTCGTTTGAAACATTAATATTTGAAATTCTAGAAAATGATATTTCTAAGATCAATATTATGTAGAAATATGTCCCATCAAATTTTCTTATATATGTATTTATCATGATTCATATTGTGGGGAAATATCTATTATTGTAATGTAATACAAAATACTATTTTATGCAGTATTCTTATGGAAGTTCAACATTCTAATGGAACATTCCTAAATTAATGGACGCATAAAGTGTTCAAAATATGATTTAGGTTTGTAGAATATTTTTTTATTGTTATTCAGCCATACAAAATAATGAAGTCAATAAATATAAATTTAAATATTCACTTGGAAGAAAAATTTCAGAAAGAAATGCCTTAAAAAAAGATCGTTTTTAAATATTTAGATCGTGTCTAAATATTTTTGGAAGATATACAGATTTAAAATAAAAATATAATACTCACATTTTTAATTAACATTTTATATATATTATAAGTTGTATAATATTATCTTGCATTCAACAACATACAAATATGTATATCAATGATCAGTAGTAAGCATTATTTATAATGTAAAATACAATTCATTCAGAAATTATTAGGAAGTCAAAAGTATTTTTTAATCAAATCTTTACCTATTAAGCGATGAAACTTATTGGGATTATGTAGCATAATAAAATTTATCTTTAAATTGTACAGTTTTGATACTAATTTAATTAATGATTAATGTAAGTAAACAGATTGTCATTTATACTGTGCAGATAATCGATACTTGTTTTGTTGTCAACTTTCTTTTTAATATATCGAAATAGATTCACATTAAATAGGTTGTAATGAAGAATGTATACGAATGATATAATTACATTCTAGCATTATATATATATATATATATATATATATATATATATATATATATATATATATATATATATATAATATATATATGTATCCCTGAAAATGTAATGTATTAACCAAAAGTATCGATTTTGTTTTTAAGTTTTTAAAGGGAAGTTTTTTTTCGTCTAAGGCAATATTGCGACAATAATGATTTTATTTGTACAGTTTTATTTGTTATTAAACTAATTATTACAGTTTTGTGATATTATGTAATATTGTAGCACTAGAATTATCTATTCAAAATGGAAGATCTGGACGTTGAACTCTCAATGTCATTTTAATTATGAAATTTCATCATTTTGTAGTTTCGATTATTATTATTATTATTATTAATGAAAGTCGACAATGTTTTACGAAAAAGTTAAGCAAGTCATTTATTCATACTATTAAAAAGACTTAGAAAATTCGAAAAAAAAACAAAAGGAAAAACAAATATCGATGATTCCAACAAAGTATACTTAACATCGAATAATAATACTTTTTACTTCATATCGCGGCACTAATGGATAATTAAGGCCATTGTACTTATTATATTTTTATCATAATAAATGAAGAGCTCTCGTTGAGAATATACGAAACTACGAATTAAATAATGATATTATATGTGTACATAAATCTATTTCTAGGTAATAAAGATAATAATAATAAATCCTCACTTTATTAATAGTTTTCTTAGTCATAAACATACAAAATATATATACATATATATATATATATATATATATATATATATATATATATATTTTGAATTTTACGCGATTAATTGTAAAATATAACAATAAAATAAGATATCAAGTTATTTTCTAGTCATTTTTTACAACGATCATGTTGAATTAATGGCCATAAAACAGAAAAGAAAATGTTCGTTTTTCGATATTCATGATCTTTTTCACTATTCACTGAGTAAATATCAATGACATAACTAATATAATCAAAAGTTAATCATACAATGATTTATTAGTTTCTTTAAAAACTCGTTGAAACGGGCCTAGTCATAGAACGAATGTTTATAGAACGATTAGGGGAGAAACGGAGAGGATGATGGCAAAAAGAAGCAGAACGCTGTTACTATGCGGACTCAGCATACCAAAAGAAAGGCGGTTCTAGCGCGCCCGTGTATCTGATTGGTTGAACGCGACGAGCCTCTGTTCGACCGGGATGACCTTCACATTCTACCTGCGACATAGGCGCCACACGATGACTCGTTGATGCATGACTTGAAGCTTCCAGGAAATGAATCGTTCAGTATTCCTGGGATTGATAATTCACAAAATGATGCAACATAGATCAAAAGTATTTTGGATTTCTCTTAACTTGGATATTGGATTTAATTAAAATTAAAAGAGATTTCGTAAAGGAACAAAAAGATTTTAATTTCTGAAATCGTAACTTTTGTCTGATGTAATTAGGATTTTTTTAAATATAAATATATGTACACACGATTGAAATGCGATTAGTTCAAATTATAAATTTTTTCAAAATGATTACGAAAAAAGAAAAATAAGAAAATATATATATTACCACGAACAATGCAAATTTTACTTAACCAGTTTTATGTAGAAATTTCGATAAAAATGTATCCGTTATTGATAAAATTATAAAATACCCTTCGAAATGAATATTGAGATGTATATTTAGATATAATTGATATAAAGTACGCAAATATTATCAAATCTAATCAGATCTATTTGAAATTGCTCTTATAAGCTATTATCGATATTGAACTCTTCTTTTGATATTATTTGCTAATATTTGTTATCTTTGTCGAAGATCTTTTATTGATTGCAACAATGAATAATCTCAAAAAAATAATTTTAAGAATGGTTAAGAAATATAAAAAATTAAAAAAATGGAAAAACCAATTGTTATCATATTAAATAAGCTGTTTCCAAAGTCGAAAATGAATCTTGTGAGAAATGAGTGGCCACGCCACTGATAAATAGCGTCTGGGCTCGACAGTGATAAAACGTGACGTGGTATACGTCACGACGAAGGACGATGTATATATAAGAAAACGTGTATATGTGTACGTTCGAAGGGGTCGTCGTATTCGAAGTGTTTTATAAAAACCGACAGAATGACGAAGTAGGCGTGTCCTATAAGGCACATGGAGTTGGTCACGTAGGATGTAACGGACGATCTCGAAAGTTTCATCAGCTCTCTCATCGTGACGTGCACACAATATTTTATATATATATATATATATACACACTCATATGAGCCATTTAAAGCAAAGTGACTAATTCTATTTTTTGCAATTAAAAAAATGTTATTACTAAAGGACTTGATTGATACTTTATTGGTAGCATTTCACTTTTTATATTTAAAATAAATTTTCTTGATGATTAGCAGCTATTAAACGAGGAAACTTTGTAAGTAAATAAATAATTTACTTCAGAAGTCGAAATTTTTATCAAGTTAAATAAAATTAAATTAAATGAATTATCTTACATGTCATAACATAAATCTATTATACCCGTAATAATACATTCTATATATATACACACACATGTAATGTATGTTTAAATACACATTTTACAAAAAAATTAAAAATACAGTATACATTTATAATTTTATTAATTTTCTTTATTTTTTGTTTTGCGTAGTTAATCACTTTGACAAATGAACGATTTATATATAAATATTTCATGTCAGCATAAAAAATGATAAACAGTGAATAAAGTACGTTTTCCACTCTCTCTTTCTTGTTTTCTCTTATCTACGAAATAATTCCTTGTTAAAGATCTCCCAAAGATAGAAAGTGATTCAATGATAGATAGTCTTTTCATTTGCACTCCCACTCTTTTCCTTAGATATAGTAAAACAATCAGAATCATTTACATTTGTGAACTTCGAAACGTTGACGTCGATTTTAAGCCCACATACATTCTTTCCATTCTTTTTTTTATGATTCAGTCAATAAGAAGACTTTAGACTCTGTTTAATGTACTCCGAAATTCGTTCTGTTATCACCTTAAATTCTATTTGAAAAAATGCTTTTCCTTTCAGTAAAAAACAAAAATTCATTCGAATATTCATTTCGATTTTAATTTTCTTTCGTTTAACAAAGAAAAAAATATCAAACCAGATGTATTGTGTTGAATATCCTGTTAGAACAATATAGACAGCTGAAAATACATTGGTTGAATCCGACAATGCTCTTTCGTTCCTTTCGTTTCCAGCACGTTGACTCACTAAATATAAACGCATTCCGAGACGAAAGCAGTAGGTATTGCTTTTATATAGCAAGTTCGGTCATCCTGTCATCCTTTCTTTTAAAGAATGTCTTTCTAAAAAAATTTGATTTCTTATTTTACGAAAAAAAAATGACCACCCCAACTACATGGATCGTTTGCGAGTCTCTTAAGTATCACCTACCTGCCCTCTGCTCTATCTTTAGTAGAGAATTGAATGTGCTCTCGCTTTACTCTATTTATTGGCTCTTCATTATTTACTATTATCATTTCTTGACGTTCATATGCCGAAATGACGTAAATCGCGAATCGTTGCTGGAATGAAAGGCACGAGGAATGACACGTGCATCTGATAACTTGATAATAAGTTTATTGTTGAGAAGAAATATATACTAAGAAGATAAGGAATATATACTATAAGAAGTAAATTCTTTAAATGAAACACATACATTCTTAAAGAGACGAAAGTTATGAGATAAAATTTATGTAAAGAAAAAAGAAAGAAAAAACTTTAATAATTTCGATACGGGATTAAATATAATAAATATTTTAATATCAAATTGCTATTTAATGATCATATAATGGGATTGAGTAGTATCAAATTAGTCATCTTATATGCTTCTCGTTAGATATATGTGTATGTAAAAATTCGTTATAATACCGACTGACGCAACAAGAACTGGTTCTTAGATTACGTTTTAACCGTACGCAATGACCAATCAGAAGGCGCCGTTCACAGGGGCTCGACTAGTTAACTTTCGTCTCGTAATTTACGCGGGAAAGTCCTGGTAATAACCGTTCGATAGAAATCGAAATTACTTTTCTTTTTCCTTAGAAAATTGAATTTAATTATTTAATTTGTTAAGATCTGTAAAATTTTTTTTGAGTAATTACATTTTATTCGAAAGAGTAAATCTTTTCTTCTAATTTGTAAAACTTGCAATTAAAGTCAACTTTTTAGAAACCGTAGCTATTATATCTCTATTAAAATTTTAAACAATTTTACGTTCCATTCCAAGAAAGTATAAATTCAGAATCGACCAACGATACGTATATACGCATATTGCGTGAATTCGTATGTCTCTCCTACCACATACACAAACATTTCGTTACATACACATTCAACTAACGTTCTCTTTCTCCGTATGGTTTATGGAAAGGCTTCGAGGCCAATAATTCGTATCTTTTGCCGTCTTGAGTGTACTCGCAAAAGCGTGCTTTTCTCCGTTCAGAATTCTCTTAGATGTAATTTTCGATCGGCACGCTTTCTATTCGTAGAATTCACGTTTCTTTCTCGTCTTCTTTTCCCTTCTCCCACACCTCCTTCTCTCTCCTCTCACTATTTCTCTCTCTCTCTCTCTCTCTCTCTCTCTCTCTCTCTCTTTCTATCTCTCTATTACTCTCTTAGATTACATAGCCAACAAGATTCTCTCTTTCACACGATCATCTTAGGATCAATTTTCTTGCAGAATTCTTTCACGGATTCTCACCGTCATTTTTATCGAATTTTAAATTGCTGGTTACCGCTTGTATAACTAACCTTGAATCAGAAAAGTATGAAGCTCGCGAGATAATGGCCGCAACTTCTATGTTTTATATAAGAGAAAATCGATCTTCTACGATAGGCGATCTCTTCTAACTGTATACGAGGAGCAAGTATGTTAACAAAAAATATTTAACGATCGCGATCCATCACGTCTATGATCTTCAGTTACATTCGAATCATGGGAAACGAATGAGTCCAGACCGAACGAGAGAGATCAAGTTGACACGAGATTTATACTTTTATTCAGGTGAGATTAAACCCGTTAATGGATCTCTTCTACAACAATTTCTAAGAAAATATTCGGTCTCTACCGTCAAATAATATACAATTTCTCTAGGATTTTGATTATATGCATTTAAAATTTCGAACTGATATATATTTCAATTTTACATTTACATTTATAGTGGTACGATATCAATATCAGTCATTCGAACTTAACATCAAAGACATTCATGTGAGACACGTGAGATGTGTATTTGAGATAACACGTGTACATGTTTACATAGAAAAGATAGACGAAATCTAAAATTAGTTTTTGTTTTAAAATTAGTATAGACTACGTTCGAATTGATTCAATTACAATTCACAAATTAGTTAAAAATGAATTTTTCTATACATCTGTTAAAATATGCGCGTAGATATGTACGTCTATTTTTTGTACTATTTTTTTTTTAAACTATCGAAAAACGTTGATTACATATATCGTGTTAAATACTCGACGAAACTTCTGTTAGCACGATATAACTACGAATTGTCTATTTTTAACTTTCGACGATACGATTGGTCGAGCCTCCAGCCGAGCCTCTTTCATCGAGTCTCTTTCACGTCGTTGCAGTACTCGTATGAGATATAACACACCTATACATAGGTACGCATGTATACATGTACAAATTGCATACATGAAAACGATAAAATAACTGATCAAAGTTTGACATAAATAGGTCGGTCATATGTTTATTTGACTGATAGCAATATTGTTGAAATGACTAACGTTTTTTTAACTTTTATAAAAAGATCGTATTCAAAGGCAAAGAGGTAAAAACTTGCATGATTTAAAAACATGAAGTATCGCTTGAGAAAAAAAAATATATATATATACACGAGGAAGAACGATATAGATCGGGTCGATTGTTAAAGGTCACTCGTCGCGTGCAACAAGATCATTTCTATCCTTCATCGTTAAATTATATTCCTAAGGTATATTACGAGATTCTATCGTTCGTTTCAAGGACACAAATATGTCGGTGTAGAATTTATAAAAACTTGTGATAAATCAAAGAGAATACTATTGTTTTTAAAATGTGTACTGATTATCGTAAAATAACATAACGTAATCTACTATGAAACATATTAAGAAATAAATAGATTCGTAGATAACAGTATACGTAAAGGACTAACTAGCGCCGTCTCGATTTTCCTCGAGATATGATTGGTCGAGCCTTTGGTCGAGCCTCCACCGTAAATGACCTAATGACGCGGAAAGAGAATGCATGTGTTTCACGAAAGGACACGATGAGGAAAAAGAGATAGGATGAAGAGAGGGGAAAGAGAAGGGGAAAGAGAGAGATAGACAGACAAACAGAAGAAGAAGGGAGCTCGATGTCCTTCGGCTATTCGCGAGTAGTTGGACAAGTGGTGGTACCGCGCGATGCGAATTGACCAACCACGAAGAAGTAGCAACAACTGCGAACGACCGTTCAGTTCGAGTTAATTGACTCGAATTTAATAAATTCCCCACACTTAACTTTACGACGATGTATTTTTTTTTCTTTCTCTCTCTTTTTTCTTGCGTTTTTCCTCATATTATCGATCCATCCGAATGCAGAATAATACATGTATTTGATCGGACAATGAATAATTTTTTCTTGTGAATGTTTACATGTGAAAAAACAATATTCTTAATTTAGTAAGTATAATCACTGATACGGCAAAGCGTGAATTCTCCGATAATTAAGGTTTAACAATTAACGACTACCGCTTTTTTTGTATTATTCATTCTATTTCGTGGGAACAATTACGGATAATTCTTGGCGTTATAACAGATAATTATGATAGTATGAGGAAAAATATTTCGAAGCCTATCCTTTGCCTATTAAGATTTTTAGTCATTAAATATGAAATAAAATCTTAAACAATTGACACGTATCAAGATTACTCATCAACATCACCTAGTGTGAAAGAAGGCAGGCGACAATTTCTCTTTCGTTGATATTTGTTAGTTCGCCTACTCTATGATTGGCATCATTTCTTTCTCGTTTGACCTTTATTCATAACGTCAGAAAAAGATGTATATATGCTGATATAAAAAAGAAAAAAACGTGTCAATTGAGAAATAAGAATCGTAGCAGGCAATATTTATTCGATAATTTCATTTCTTGTGATCTCATGATATCTCCTTATTTGTTTCCTAATATTTTCGTTTTAATTAATATTAATATTAATTAATATTAAATCTCTGTCAAATAATTTTTATTTATTTTTTTTATGAATTCTCTGTCAAATATATTCGCTTTCTTATTATAATATATTATATTATATCATAATACAACACAAAATTTTCAGGTATTGAATAAACTATTTAGTTAATTGACAACGTGTTATAATAAAACAATTATTGCATACAATTTCTCGAGTATTTGCTATTTATTTAACTCGATATCTCGATGTAAGAAATTTATTATTCTTACCGCTATTATTATAGAAATGAAGGTAAGTGTCTCTCATAATGTGAGATGATGTAATTCATTGTCCGAGTAATTAATTATTCGTTGAGATTACCGATTGTTATTATAAATTCGAGTCGTTTCGAAATTCGAAATTCGAGTATCGATCGCACTTGATTCGCATGCTTCTTGTGAATTACACGATTATGCAATTTGCAAAGTAATGAGCGCCGATGCTCATTGGAATTTGTTCTTTAAAATGACGTAATCTTTGATGAGATTCACGCGACGTATCGCGATAAGCATCGTTTAGATCGAATCATCAATCGTAAACAATTTTTATACTTTTAATATGTACTTTGATCTGATTTATAATGGAAATCTGCAAAGAGATCCATCGTGGCCAAAATCGATTATTTTTGTTTGTCTCTTTTTCTTTTCCTTTTCTGTTTTTTCTTTTTTTTTTAACACTTAACTTCAGCGCTAAACTAAAACAGACAACCTGTTTATCTTATATGTTCATATTGGGCAATATTTAATAAAACTAAAAATTAATGATAACAATTGAAATACAGGTAACCCAAATATAATGTGAACACAGTTTCAATATAATGCTATCTTGAAATTTAGATAGTGACTTTCATGTAACGCGGAACGTAAACAACGCAGTTTCGATATAAACGATCTTAAAATTTTTAGATTTTTATTTTTTTACTTTATATATTTTTAAAAATGCATAAATGCATTAGTTTTTAACCTTCGATATACTATATCGACATTGCAGTAATTATTATAATATGTTCAACGACTGTTCTGTTTATAATTTTTATAATCTTACATGTATGTATGTACTATTATTTATTTCATGGTTTGTATATTAGTTTGTATAAATTATTTGAATTAGATAAAAATATTTTTCTGTTTGTTATGTCAATGTGGTTTATATTATTTAAAAAAAAAAATCTTGAAATAATTTTTAAAAAATACTTTGGAACCTAACCTCATTTTTTTCTATTAGAAATCTCGTATAACACGATTTATATAACGTGGCATTTCTATGAAACGCAATATTCACATTATACGAGAATTATCTCACTTCCATAATCTTATACATTGACTAAATTCATAAAGTGTCTAGGTTATAATTTTTCAATAATTAAAACTCTTACACATTGATTATGATATATTGCATAGATTAACAGTATATTTACGCTGAGGTTCATCAACAATTGAAACTTTCAAACTGACGAATTATTTTATAGACATGTCCTAAATCATTGACTAATTATTTCGTATAATCATATTTTCACCTTATTTAACATTTTGATTAGTATTTTAATAAGAATATAGCAAAAATACATAAGAAAAAAATATTCATTTCATTAAGATGAAAAATTCAATTATTAATCATTAATACAATAAATAATTGAATGGAATATGGTATAGAATAACAGGATAATTTCAATCACCGATTAAAATTTTGCATCGATTCACAATTTTGATTATGTTTTTTTTATTTTAGTTCAAGACGATTTGAGTTAGAGACTAATAATTAACGTGATGCGACAAAGTATTAAATATTACATTCTGTCAGCAGTAAAGTATATGTTTGGTTCGTAACAAATATACGTTTTCTGATCCACACTGAAGCGGACGTTCGCGTTCTGACCGTGGTAGCATATCCGCGAATAACGGTACCTTAGCAAAAGTGTTAAAAATATAATTGTTAATTGCCGTTAGTAATTAAATATTTAATTTGTAATTGTTAATTATTCATTGAATTACATATCGTGCAGCACTTCTATAAGAATTATGTCAATCAGAGTTTGAAGAAAAAAAATCCACAAGTCTGATGTCGCTGACGTGGCGTCTTTCAATTTGCTAATATGTAATTTTTACCAACAACACGACAACAACGGAAAGCAATTTAAAAATCAGTTTAAAACAGTTTAAGTATTTTTACTCACCAGAATACATATTTTTTTTTCATTATTATTTTTTATCAACGCACTTTTTTTACGAGACTTTAAAATAATACAATGAGAGATGCGATCGCATTGGAGAGGAGAATGCATGATTTACATAAACAATGGATTCACAAATCCATTGTTAAGATAAGACATTTAATTGGAAGAAATAAGAGAAAAAGAAAAGAAAACAAAGAAAAAGAAAAAGAAAATAACTTCGCATTGGAGAGTAGAATGCAATGATTTACATCGACATAAAATATTAAATTTAAAGAAATAAAAGAAAATGAAAGAAAAAAAAAAAAAAAAGAAAAAAGGAAACAAAGAAAAAAAGAAAAATAATTTTGTAACATGTATATAACATAAAAAAAAAACAAAAATGCAAGATTATCTTTTGAGAAATATTCTTTTTTAAGATTTCGTAAACATACATTCATGAGGAATCGCTAAGGCGATTATGAGAAGTATAGAAAACTCGTTCTACGAACCTTTTTTTTTTTACTGATATTTTGCGAAATCTATATAATTACATTCAAAGAATGTGATGGACGCCGGAGTTTTATACAAGTAATATTGATAATTGAACGAAAAATAAAAATTAGACAAAAGATGGTGCGTAGGCAAAGAAAACAAATGAAAAAGAGAGGCATAGTATTATTTTAAAAAGAAAAAAACAAAATGTTTAATGATGAAATATAATATAGGTGTCCTATTCGCATCGTTATTTTCCCATTCTTTGGATGGACCATTCCTGTTGACATAATGGACAACGATTGTTCTGCTTCACCCACAAGGACATGCAACAGTAATGAAACGAATGGTTACACTCGCCCCATACGACCACGCAGTCTTGTCGTCCGTAAAAGTCCTTCTTGCTTTCTGCCTGACATCGTAAGCACGCGTCTGAAAAATAAAAGATAAAGAATGTCAAGATCTTGTTCTCCTTTATTTGAGAAATTTTCTACTTCTCTGGATCTTTACCTTTCAAATCGTTAAATGGCAGATTTATATATGTATAAGTATACACACGCACACATGCACACATATATGTAGCAACCAAAATGAATATAAAGAAACCAAGATTTGCATTAGCTCGACCTTCCGTGCCGAAATAGTAGAAACTCGATAAATTAATACGAGAACCGGAAAAACATGCTAATACGAAGAATTGAATGTTAAACCTGGATAATTTTTAATATACGAAAATGTTTCCTTCTCTATGTATATATACTTGCACATAAAAAATATAAATAAAAAAGGAGATAGCGATGAGAATAGACAAAAAAAAGATAAAATATAATTTATCCGTGATTATTGTGTAAATAGACGAGCAGGCAAATTTTTGTTTTTCCTTTTTTTTTTTCTTTCTCGTCGTAATCAAAGAGAAGGACGAAAAGAAATATAAGAAGAAGAAGAGGAAGAAGAAGAAAAAGAATAAGGATGGAAAGAGTTCAAGGCGATCTTAATTTTGTGCGTGCGTGTGTGCGTATATGCGTACGTGCGTACGAATAAAATAGCTTATCGGTTTATTTTGCGACTTCTCATTACTTTACACCTACGTAAGATTTTCAGTTAATGTCACGTTCATTCATGTTGTGAAGTTTCTGTCAAATATGTGTGCATATATAAACGTGCTCTGTTCGCAAAATCGATGGAATTATCGCGAAGACTATAGATGCACCGTCATGACGGAACAATGAAATATCGATTATCACAATAGAATCCATGATAGATAAGAAAATAAATAAAGTGATATTGTTTGTGATACAACATTTGTGAGATAATATACTCTAATAATAGCAATAACACTAACAAGTGTAATAAGAATGAATATAATACGCCGGTATAGATTATATTTAAATTTTCTTTTTCTTTTCTACAATAATTATTTCAACTTATTTAATATGTTTTTTCTTATCTACAAGATTAAATAAAAGAAAAGAAAGAAACATTTCTACTACGTCTTTACATTCACTATCGTCCACATTTTTCTAAAAAGATAATGATAATTCATAACGTCAGTGTATACATATTTTAATTAATCTCTTCCTTTCCTTTCCCACCCTTTCTCTTTCTCTTTCTAATTTTTATAAATAATACATAATAAAAAGGATTTGGAAGAAAAAATTGTGAGAATGATTTTTTTATTGAATGTAAAAGGAATTGTTAAGAATTTGAACGTTATCGATAGACAATAATTAAAATGTTTGAAAGATAAGACAAACAAAGGTAACTTCATGACTCGTAATGAGATGCGCTTTTAAAAAGTTCATTGTTGCGCTGCAAAGAGATAGAGTAGAAGGGGTTCGGTATTAACCACGATATGTAAACATCTTTATGATCATCGATCCTCTCGAGTCGTGGTTCGCATTGAATGAGACATATCATCTTACTCGCTGTCTCGTTACCGATTTACGTATACATATACATACATATATACACACACGTATATATATATATATATATATATATATATATATATATATATATGCAACGTTCAGTAAAATTCCACTGTCTTATCTAACAACAAGTCTAGGAGCCGCCTTATTATATACGATTACCAACGTTGCTACATCCACCTTTCTATGTGTATGTGAATATTACGATAGTATATAAAGAAATACTTGCTATCAACCAGTCGCGTTAATATCGTGTTATCGTGTACGAGAATAACGTATCGTGCATTTACGAGATTATAAAAAAAGTTGACTAAGAGAAATTCTCATGATGCTTTGATCTCGATTTTGATCAACGCGTGAGATAATTCATTTTTATGGATATTTCAAGGCACGTTTCTTCTTCTCGACAAATTATCAAAACACTTTTTAGCCTAATTTTTGTCGATTCCGTTTTAAAACTGCGCTACGTATTAGATATTTTTTTCTTCGATATACGAAGATAAAAATTATTCTTATATCGATTAAACTGATTATGAAAATAAGGAATGAGGATTATACAAGATTAGATAGATAGAATCATTAATTAAATTCATTGTAAATTATCTTGCAAAATAATTGAGATAAAAAATTTACAAATAGCGCCTTAATATTCTTATTCGAAAGATAAAAATCTGGATGTCGACAAGTCGATGGAAAAATCCCATGGGCCCTGAACTCGGTCGAATCTTTGTTGTCCTCTTTGACTTCTCTCTCTCTCTCTTTTTTCTCTCTCTCTCTCTCTATCTTTTTCTCTCTCTCTCTCTCTTTTTGTCTCTCTCTCTCTTTCTCTCTCTCTCTCTCTCTCTCTCTCTCTCTCTCTTTCTCTCTCTCTCACTCTCTGACTCTATTTTTCTCACTCAGGATAATGTTCGATGAAAGAGAAAGAGAGAGAAAGAGAGAGAGAGAGAGAGAACTTTCCATGCGTCTTCATTCGTTGTTATTTGTCGGCTACTGGCGCTTCGTCTATTAATCCTCGACAGTTGAGGGGTGACTCTCTCGTTGACCCCCACCAGGGGATCCCAGCCGGAGACACACCAGACGTGCCTCCAAGAGCCGAGGAAACGATTGGGCCAATTAACGTCGTCTTTGCTTCGTCTTCGTTATCGTTGTTATCGTTGTCGTTGTTGTCGGGGATATTGTCATAATATCGATATATGATCGGATCGTATCGATTTCTCGATTATTCTTTCGAGGTTATCCTTTCCTTCCATAGATAATATCTACTTTATCGAACTATTACGAAGACACATAGAATGTCTTTATCTTTTTTCATAAGAAATCTGATCTTGTTTAAAATCATTTCAATCGAGATTAGAATCGACGAATCTCGATTTTGAACGATTTAGGAATCATTTATGAAGTGTGGAAATAATTATGATAATTATTAATGGAATATAATAATGGAAGATAAAATCGTAACAGAAACTATAATTGTTTTATTCGAATAATCTACATTTTTTTGCTATTTGAGGACATTTTATTTATTAAGAATTATCGCTTTTAACGAAGTTAACGAATTTCGACATTTTACCACGAAGTTATTTTCTTAGAAGATTTTCTTGATGTATTAGATAGACCGTATTATGAACACGTATTATGTAACTAGATAGATAGTACGTTGATTGATGCGTTCGTACAACGAACACGTTTTAAGACCATTCATCCGTGTACGAATTTCATCCAGGCTGAAGAACATTCATACGTCCTGTTTCTTATCCATTCAAGATATATACCTCATAATCGTTAACTCGGTGTAAATAAAACTGTTTCGATCCACCGTGAGAAGATATTACGCGAGCAAATAATTTCTCGATCATACGAGTCGTTAATTATGGCTCGCTTGCAATAGCTAGAAAAAGAAGTGCATATATCGCCTGACGATGGACTGCCAATGAGTAGATCATTCATTAATTCGGTCCTTAATTAAGCTAGCTCTAGTGTATACGTTCATAGGCGTGTTTATATGTGCATAGATACATACATTAATCATCTTGACATTCGAACGTTCGAGAATTACGAGGGGACTAGCGAGAGTTTTAGTTCGATGGGTTAATCTGTCGGGACTTACATGCCATTCAAGATTCACATATTGTGCATGTAACACTGAGTTAGCCTTTTAATTGCGAGTTCATGGGTTTACAACATTGCACGAGCCGATATAGTCTTCTTTTTTGCATACGTAACGAATTACTTAACGGACTAGGATTGTTTGGTTTTAATCGGATTCGATATAGATTTAAGGACGTTAAAGGAATCAAAGGGCACATCGATAAGATACATGACGCATGTACTCGACTCGTGTGATATGAATAATTATAATAATAATATATATATATATATATATATATATATATATATACACATGCATATATATATATGTATATAATGATAACAATTATTTGCATTTAATTTTACGATTAATTTCACGATCCTACATAGAATCGGCCTTGATTTTCTTCTGAATGAACATGATATTTTTATTGGCTCACCTCGTTTTAACAAAACCATCTAAACGTTCTAAATACTCGATTGAAATGACGCATAATCATCGGGTGTCAGTACGCATTTACATCAAAACTACTTTAATGCGCATTCGTAAGCGTCATGGAACACTCAAGCATTCGAGCACAATGCGGGCAAATGGTCATTATTCAATACGCTTCTTGATATGTCTCTAACACGCAGAGTCATTTGGTATTAACTCGAAGACTCATGGCTCCGACGTGACACGAAATCATTTTGAGCTCACCAAAGGAATCTATATGATCTCAGCCGATTGTTGTTGATGAAGAATCATTAACGATTGTAGTTTTCAATATAATTACCAATCGAGATACTATGTGGCGTCATTTTACAATTTTTTTTTACACGTTTCCATATAGTAAATCATTAAGATCTATTGACTTATTTTATGACGATTATAATCATTCATTTTACTAATTGCAAATAAATATCAATGCATATATAAATGCGTTGACATTTTTGTTAAATGAAATCTTAATTACACACAACGAAGAATTTACGACGATAAGCACGATAATACCTGTTATCACATACATATGCATAGTATAAACATACATATCGGTCGAATGTTTATCTTCTAGGATTATGACGTATTAACCATCATTTATATATATACATACTGCAAGAAATCGACTGTTTATAAGATGGGGCTTAGTTTTTACTTTTTCTACATTTGTTGATTACTAGTCACATTTTTTTGTTAGTATATATTATTAACGAACAAGATATTTTTGAGTTAAACATAACTCGTCTTATATATATACATGTGTGTGTATGTGTGTGTGTGTGTGTATGTGTGTGTGTGTGTGTGTGCCATATCTAAGCATAAAATGTCTGATCGATTGATAAAAAGAATTGTATTAATTGTAAATAAATAAAATAAATTATATTGGAAGTCATTAATACCCAGTAAGATTGATAATATGAGTTAGACGCATCAAGACAGGATAATATTATAGTTTAAAAAAATGTCTGTATTTCTGTAACAAATATACAAAAAAAAGGTTACTATATTCATATTATTGTCTTGGACTGTACGCAACGAAGGACAACGAAACTTTAAGATAACATTCGGAACGTTTCAACAAAAGTTCATTGTGTTTAACCATAAAAGCAATAAATGTGATAATTTTATCGTGCAAAAAGTAACAAAGTTAATGCATTGAAGCGACTGAATAATAAAAAGAAAAAAGAAAAAAAAGTTTTGATCAATCACGATGATACCTTTCTCGAAATTATATTATTCGTATTAATTTTGATAACATTTATCACATAGTAAAGTTTGTATGTTCACATGAATGGAACAAATTCAAAAATTACTTCCATGAAAGTACCACTTCAAAACTTATCATTATCATTATACTAGACTTTAAATAGATAATGTAAACTTTCGACGATTTCGAAGTTCGAACTTCCGACGAGAAAAGGCGGGAAATTTAAACTCGAGTTGAAGATCAATTCTAATATATTCTATTTTATAATAAATACATTCTGACATATTTTATTTTATAATAATCAATAACGAATGAATTGGTTAAATGATTAATTAAAAGCTATTGTAATATTTCATTACCTTTTTATTGGTATTTTCATTCGATTATATATATATGTGTTTAAGTCAACTTTAAACGTTAGCTCCTCCTAGCATAATCATATGATAATTACGGAGGTTGATGGAAAAATACTATAAACGAAGTTAG